GAAAATCGCTTCCTGTCTCGTAAATTGTGACCAAAGTCAAAAAAATTGAATTTTTGGGCGTAAATTTACGTGGGTCCTGTCTGTGTTACGGAAATTTATGCCCCGAAAAATTTCCTGATGATAGTATCAATTATTATAACTAAAAATACAAATAATAATAACTATAAAATAAAAATATTACAAATTATATAATTTTATATGTATTAATAAATAAAATAAATGAAAAATTCAAAAATATGATAAGTATATATGTTTTTAAAATTAATTTTTGATTTTTGAGATATTTTGTCTTTTTTATATATAAAAATAAAAAAAAATATTTAATTTAATATATTTTTAATTAAAAAATTATCTAGATAATTAAAAAATTTTAAATTTTAAGTAAAATAATTTTATCTTTTATAAAAAACTATTTTGATTTTCATTTTTCAAAATATTTCAACTTATTATAATAGGTTATTTTATATTTATAACCATAACTTGACTTAACTCAATTTGAATTAATTCATTAGTAACACTATTTTAATGATTTTTCTAATATAAGTAAATATTATATTATATAATAACCCTTTAAAAAATTCAAATAATAACAAAATTTAATTATATTTAATCAATAAATAAATATCATTTTTTAAGTTTTAATAATAACTATAATAACAAAATACAAATTAATTCTTGAAACTCAAATAATACCAAAAATGTAAATAGATAAATATCAATTCTTGAAGCTTAAATAATGACAAAAATACAAATTAATTATTATTGATTAACAATTCAATTGCAATTTAAGAACTATTGTTATTGATAATAACAAATAAAATAATAATAATTTATTCATATTTATTTTATCTTTTAATTTTATTAATTTAATTTTTTTATAAATCAATAGTTCTAAACTTAATTAAACAATTGCAAGTTTTATTCAAAGTAAAAAATCTTCATCTATTTGATTTTAAATCTTTTAAACTTTTTAAATTAAATTATTAGTTAGACACAATTAAAATCAGAAATTTAAAATTGAATTGTTCAATTAGAATTACTAGTTGTTTATTCAAAGTTTACTTTTAAACTAATTTTATTAAAAATTATTTAATTGAGATAAAAACAATCATTATTTTTATATTGTAATAACAAGTTAAATTAAATTTAATTAAAATTAAATTGTATTTAAAAAATCTGTAATATTGTAAAATTAATTGTAAATACTATTTTTACTTTAAAGAAAATTAACACTTACATTGTATTCTTTATAAAATACTTTGCTATTGACATTATCATCTTAAAATATTAAGATTTTTTTTTTTTAAACCAATTGATTAATATTATTATAAATAATAACTAGAGATTTATTGTATCTTCTATCTATTAATGAAAGGAAATGGCAATCCTTATTATCATTCTGATAATAAGTTTCTAAAACTTTTTCCAATTCATTAAAATTAGAAACATTAACATATGTGATATTTTTTTTAACACCTATTGCCACCATTCTGGTCAATGAGAAATTTCCTATTCTTTGTTCTATAAAATTTTTCTGATGTTCTAAAGTTAACCTTATTTACAACAAAAGTTCAAAATGGCAGAAATATCATTGTCTACCTTTTGTATCAGTTCTCTTGAAACTCCATTATCACAATTCCATTGCCTCTCAGGTGTCACCATTTGACCAGAATTATAAAACTGTCCTTTGTATATCTTATGTAGACCTTTCTAACTTCAGCCAACCCAATCCTAAATTTGGACAGTTTACATCAACATGTAATTATCATCATAATATCATGTGACTCGAGAAAAGAATTAAGTGATATTTTTTCATCTTAAATAAAAAGTTGTTATTATAGATGATTTGATTTGATGAGTCTACCGAAATGTCAGTAACGAGCGTAAGTGATCAATATTTGGTTACTTTATCTAATTATCTAAGACAAACGCTCGATCCAAATACAAGGAAACAAGGTAAACTTCGTTTTTATTATTATTTTTTGTTATATAGGAGATTTAACTATTTTTCTTGACTAATTAACTTGTATGTTTAACTTTTATTGAATAGCCGAAACTGAACTTTTTGCTGCGGAGGATAAACAGCAAGAGTTTCCGATTGCACTTTTACAATTGCTCACTAAAAATGACGTAGATCCAAGTGTGCGATTTGCTGCGTCGTTAGTTTTCAAAAACTATGTAAAAAGGAATTGGGGGAAGGTAATAATAATATTTTTGACGCGTTTTTCTTTTTTTTTGATATACTTAAAACTTTTGTCGAAAAATAAATATTACTGTATAAAATAAATATTATTATTCAAATATTAAAGAAGTTTATTTTTATTTTTTATTGTTGGAGTAGGAAGAAGAAGAACAAAGAATTACACCCGAAATTCGTCAAACTATTAAAGATAGTATTATTGATATTTTGGTGGTGGTTCCTTCCAACATACAACTTCAACTCAGTGAAGCAGTCACAACGATCGCTAATAATGATTTTCCAAAAAAATGGGAAAATTTAATACAAGTAAACATTTCTTATTATATATATATTTATTTATATTTATTATTATTAATTTATATTATATATTCAATATTATATATTTATATTTATAGCAATTGACTGGTAAATTTGATCCGGAAGATTATGTTCGCAATAATGGCGTTTTGCAGACAGCGCACTCCATATTTAAGAGGTTTGCCATCATGAGAACATCGAAAAGAAAAAAAAAAGATTCAATTTATAAACAATCTTACATTTTAATAAAAAATTCGTTATTATAAAGATGGCGTCATGAATTTCGCTCAGATGATTTGTACTTTGAAATCAATTTTGTTTTGGAACACTTCTGTAATCCCTTCTTTCAAATACTACGGGTATTAATCAATTGAATTATTATTATTGTATTTATTTAAGTTATTTTAAAGTTATTTTAAGTTAAGTTATTTTGAAGTTATATTTTTTAATAATAATAAAAAAAAAAAAAATTAATTATTATCTTTAGAATACCGATATGAAAATTACGGAACATTCACAAGACAAACAACGTTTACAATTATACCTACAAACAATGCTTCTTTTAATGAAATTATATTATGATCTCAATTGTCAAGATATTCCTCCATTTTTCGAAGATAATATAGATTATGGGATGCAATTAATGCACAATTATCTTATTTATAAGAATCCATTATTAGAAACAGAGGTAACATTCTCAACTTTTATATTAATTTTTAAGAATTTAAAATTTTTTTCAATAATTGTATTTAGGAATTTTAATATTATAGAGTGAAGATGAAGCGGGAATAGTGGAGAAAATCAAATCAACAATTTGTGAAATTTTAACACTATACACAACAAAATACGATGAATTATTCGTAATGTTACCTCAATTTGTTTCGACAATATGGACTTTACTTACGACTACTGGTTTAGAATCAAAATATGATCTCGTGAGTAATAATAATTTCAACAATAAATCAATATTTGGGGAGATTAATTTATTCATTTTATTTTATTGTAATATATTATTATAGCTTGTAAGCAAAGCAATGTCATTCTTGTCTACAGTAGTGAAATTGGAAAGATATCATTCTCTTTTCAATAATGAGACAACACTCACTCAACTCTGTGAAAATATTGTACTTCCAAATATGTATTTAAGACGTAAGTTATGACCAAATTATATATTTCTATATCTTCTTTGCCATTTGTTCGTTTAAAAATTATATTAATAATATAATTGATCGATATAATAATCATGATAATCATAATAATTATAATAATTAAAATTATAATAGCCGTAGACGAAGAATTATTTGAATGTGATCCAATTGAATACATTAGAAGAGATTTGGAAGGATCCGGTATTTATTAATTAATAAAATAACAATAATAATATAAAATAATAATAACAAAAAATAAACATTTTTAGATAGTGACACCCGAAGAAGAGCTGCATCTGATTTTGTGCGCAGCATGATGACTCATTTCATGGCAGACATAACCAGTATTATTGGGGCATACATTACACAATATCTTGCGGTATTTATTTATTCCAAAAAGACCTTTGATATAATTTATCGATAATTTGTTATGATAAAACTTTTATATTTATTATTCTTGATGGTGAATTTCATTGTAGCGTTATAATGAAAATCCAAATAATTGGAAAGATAAAGATGCTGCAATATATCTTTTGACTTCAATTGCAACTCCAGGAACTGCAACAAAGGTAACAATCAATATCTTAATTTCTGATTAATATTTGTTTAATATGTGATTAATATTTGAGGGAGAGGAATTTTAACTTTAATTTTTATTTTTATAAGCACGGTCTTACAACAGTAAATGACTTGGTAAACGTCATCGAATGGTTTTCCGAGAATATTTTGCCCGACTTGCAAACACCTTTTGATAGTGGTCAACCAGTATTAAAAGTTGATGCAATTAAATATTTGTATACTTTTCGTAATCAGGTAAAATTAATTTTTATAATTTTTTTATAATTATAATTATTATTACTGATATTTTATTAATCAATTTATCTATTTTCGTTTTTCTTTTTCTTTTTTTTCAAAAAAAAAAAAAGATGAATAAACAACAATTGATTACAGTATTTCCATTACTAGTTAAACATCTTAATTCTAGTAATTATGTTGTTCATACATACGCCTCAATTGCTATTGAACGCATTCTATTTATGCGAAAAGATAACAATATGGTGTAAGTATTTGCAAAATTCTTTCTTGTATTTAATCAAATAAATATATTATTATTTATTATTATTTACTAATTAATATATTCCTTAATTAATATAGCTTTAATGGGACAGATATAAAGCCATTTACTCAAGAATTATTAGTTAGCTTATTTAGATTGATTGAAGCTGGTTCAACTCCAGAGACATTAGCTGAAAATGACTACTTAATGAAAGGTAATAAATTGTATATGGTTCATCTTTATCTTATCTTTATCTTCTTATTTTATATCTATTTGGGAATTTATTTATTTATTTATTTATTTTAGCCGTAATGAGAGTCATTTTTACAAGTCGAGAGGATACAGGTTCATATGTTGCAGAAATTATGGGTCACCTAAATAAGATATTGAGTATAATTAGTAAAAACCCAAGTAATCCTCGTTTTAATCATTATGTTTTCGAATCAATTGGTGCTTTGGTGAGGTGTGCATACATTCGCATACATACATTTATTGGTCTTTCGTTTTTATTTTATTTATTCTTATTTTACTGATTTTACTGATTTTACTGGTATCACTTGTAGGTTTAATTGTTCCAACAATCCAGTTGGCTTACAGAATTTTGAAAATATGTTACTTGAACCATTCCAATCCATCTTACAACAGGATGTAGTTGGTAAGATCTTTAAATTTATTTTATTTATTTTATTCAATTATCAAATTAATTAAATTAATTAATTTAATTTTAATTTATTTATATCATAAAATTATTGACACTTCAACACACCACATTAATATAATTTCCTTCAGAATTTATTCCGTATGTGTTTCAAATATTCTCACAGCTTCTTGAATTGCATCAAGAACCTCAATTACCTGAGATATATAAAAGTCTGCTTCCTCCCATATTATTGCCTAATTTTTGGGAGTCTTCTGGTAGGAATATTGTAATTTTGTGTGTGTGCCTGTCTTAAAAAATGTTGGCAATATTTATAATATATATAATTTTTCTTCTTAACAGCAAATATTCCCGCCTTGGTTAGATTACTTCATTCATATATTTATCGTGATGCTGCTGGTATAGTTGTCAGTAAACAAATAGAACCGATTCTAGGAATTTTCCAAAAATTAATTGCATCAAAAACCAATAACAAATATGGACTCGATTTATTATGTTCTATTGTTCAATATATACCAACGTAAGTTATATATATATATATTTATTTATTTATTATTAATTAATTAACTTAATTTAATGAAATTTAATTATATTATATTTTTTCTAGTGAAACACTCAATCAATACATAGGTGCAATCATATCATTATTGTTGAGAAGATTACAAAATGACAGAACGGAAAGATTCACTTTGGGATTTGTGAATTTTGTTTGTTTCTTCATTGCGATAAATCAACATGGTGGTCCTGATTATGTTATACAAGCTTTTGATTCCATTCAAGAAAAGTATTTATTATAATTTATTGTATTATAATTTACTATGGTTTTTTATTATGTTTATAATTCATTATAATTAATGTTAATATTTATCCTTAATAGATTATTTTTGGAAGTTTTAAATGCTTTTATCATCCCAGAATTACAAAAAATTCGGGGATACGTGGATCGTAAGATCTGCTCAGTAGCTCTGATACGATTATTGACTCAGAGTAATTTGATTTTATCTCAGAAATATATCGAAATATGGTAACATCTATATATTTATCCATAAATGATGTATACGAAAAAAATTATTCATTTATTAATAATAAAATAATTAATTATTCATAGGACAACAATTCTTGCCGCATTAATCAAATTATTTGAAGCACCTACCGAAATTGATAAATATAATGAAGAAGAAGAATTTTATAATTTTGATCTAGAGGAAGAAAGGCAATTTCAAACATCTTTTGCTAAATTAACCACTACATCTAAACCTATGAATGACCCTACTGCATCTATCTCGGAACCTAAAGTTTATTTGGCTCAAGAACTTCAAAGATTAAGTCAAGCTCATCCCGATGGAAAGGTACATATTAGTATTAATAATTATTATTATATAATAATCAAAAATTGTATTTTTTTTTAACTATAAAAAATTCTATATTGGGATTTACACTTTAATAGATGATTACTGAAATGATACAAACACTTCCCGCAGAATGTACACACCATTTATTCCAATATATGGCATTAGCAAATCCAAATATATATAAACCTACTTTATAAGAAATTCATTTGAGTGATTTGCAAATGTCAATGTATGTATAAATCTGGACATTTCAGATCATTTGACTGCGTAATCAACGACCATAACTTTATCTTTAAACACCCATTTTTTGACTCATAAATTAATAATTTTTTTTTAAAAAAAGTTTTATAACTTTTTTGCTTCATATTTATTGAGGTATTGTTCTTTGAGTATATTATACTTTGTGATCAAGATGCTTTTTTCAATATCAAATATTGAGATACCAAACTTTGCAAAAATCAAAAACTCAGACATAATTGCTATTAAAAAAGGATATTATTTTTTTGTTTTACTAATAAATTTTTTGTATGCTTAACATCAAATATCTTTGTACCACAAAGTATGGTGAACTTGTGCTTATTTTCCTATAAAATTAAAATTTGTAATTAAAAAAAATTAAGTCACCATTTCCTAATATAGAATTTTATGATCTATTTATATAATTTATATATTGTGTGTATAAATGGATAATCAACATTGAGAATTGTCATTTAATAAAATTTCAATTGTGAATAAAATTTTACACAGAACAGTTATACCCAAGATAATTATAAGGTTAATGTCCTTCCTAAGAAAATAAGCATGTTGAATTTTATAACAACTGGATCAGTGATAAATTGAAATTTATATACAAACCAAATTTTTTATATGTAAAATTTCTTAATCTCTTGATAATTACTAATCCAGTTGTTATGAAATTTGATATACTTATTTTCCTTAAGAAAGACAATTAACCTTATAATCATCTTGGTTGTAACTGTTCTGTATAAAATTTTATTCACAATTGAAATTTATTAAGTAACAATTCTCATTATTGATTATATATATTGTTAAAAGTAAAAAGCCTTTAACTCAATTTCAATTTTTTTCAATTTTTAATTGTGTCTAACTCAATAATTGTATCAATTTACTATGTAAAAATGAAAATTTCACTTGACTTCAATTTTTTCAATTTTTAATTGTCTAACTTAATTCAATAATTTTGATAACATGTACAATATTAATTATCCATTTATACAAAATTAGAATTATAAATTTGATATCAATTAAAATTTGTATAGTGATTATTGTTTTAAAATTTATACTTCTCAGTTAAATAATTATGTCAAATTATGTTGACAAATTATTTTACTTAATAATATATAGTAATTATATCAAATTATATCAATTACATTAATAAGTATATTAAAATTATAATATTTTTATTCTTTGTTATGTAGTATATTTATTTTATTTTACATTATATATATATTTTGATTTATATTTATTTTATTACTATTATTTCATTATTATATTATTATTATATAATATATTATTATATAAAATATAACAATCAGTGGAAATGTCACAGGAGTTATGAATCACTAATTAAAAGATTTTGTGCAACATATGTTAATAAATTTCCAATATTCGAACATACATATTTAAGCTACAATGTAATATATTTTTGATCATATATAATGTCAATTTTCTACCTTTTGTTTATATGTTTATATAGTTTTTTTTTTACATCAAAACCTCTTTATAAAGAAATATTATATTAAAATATATGGCTATATTTTTATACAAATGTTTTAGATTGAACTACTAAACACTTAAAATTGGTTACAATAACTTTAATAAATGAAAAATAGACTTTAAGCAGTGGATTTTTCAAATATACAAGTTAATAAATTCATACAATTTAATTATATTTCAATCTCAATTAAATTTTATTATAAAAGATAATTAAAATATAATTTTTAATGAAAAATAGTTCTATCGGATTTTCTTAATATAATAAGTCTACCAATTATATATTTTTTTATATATTATTCACAATAATACTAAGTAATCTTATCATAAAAAATGTAATATATATATTGTAAAAATATTAGATTTTTAGAACATAAATTAAATAAGTAATTAGTAATTTTATTTTTTTAACAAATTAGTTACTATTTGTTCAATTTTCAAGAAATTGGTTTAAAACTTTTACAGTAGATACAATATGTTCTCAAGATTAAAGTTATTTAGTATTATTTTTGATATTATTTGAATTAAAAATACTTTTACATATAGAAATTTTCAAAATTTGTAATTATTAATTTAATAATTTCAAATAAATATTTATAAGGATTTTTATTAAAAAGTAAATAAATAATATTAATTTTAATTATTATCCTTTTGAGTATAGTAGTCTTTAAAATAACTACTTCTATTCTTGTTGCAATATAATGTTATATTACATTTTATACAATATAACTATGATTGTAAAGGATTTTTAATACCTTTTATTGAGCTTTTTTATTTAAATATTTGTACCACATACAACTACTTCTTTTCTCTTTTTATTTAGAAAAATAACCATTTGATATTAATTTTAATGATGAAAGTTCAAAATTTATTGTTATATATTGATGTTTTTTTGTTGAATTAACTTGAATAAATTTAAATTTTTGTGTTATTTTTTCAATGTGATCTTTTTATTTGATATTGAAGATTCATCTTCTTCTATACTTGAATTTATTAAATTCTATATTAACTATAATCTAAAATCTTTATGATTGATATTTTTTTCACTTTTTTTAAAAAAATTAAATAAAAATTAATAATTGAAGATCTAATAACCAAAAAAATAATAACATTCAAATTTTTCTTATTAATAATTAAGTATTATAATATCTACATAACTGGTTAGCAATATTCACTTCACCTATAAAATAATTGTAATCATCAATTATGCAAGAAATTGATAAAGTTTTTTTACTAGCATCTCCAAATATTACATGTACTTTAGTTACATTTACACTTATTTTTTGAGAATAATATCATATTATTTCAATTCTATTTTCATTTTTACTAATTTCATAAATAGTTGTTATCACAGTGATTAACCTATTATCTATTCATAAAATTACTAATACATTATTAATTATTATTCCAGATAAAGTATCACAATCAAGTTTTTTATTAACTTTAGGAATTTTTGAAAAATTTGCACTATTTGTATTAGGGTTGTTAACCGGAGCATAATGTTCTGGCATCAACCCGGGTTATGTATCACTCCGTCACGGAGCGGGTTAAGATTTCTAATTTTTTGTACTAACCCGGAGCAAATTATTTATT